GCCCAATATATCCCAGCCCTTGACAGGTGCCATTGTAACAATATAAACAATATTATTTGCTTCACCTGTAAGTGGTTTTAACCCCTTAAGAACCAAACTTCTGGAATAAAAGGGAATCATGACATGTCTAACATGTCATGTATCCTTAAGGGGTTAATGTTGCTGCTGATCAGTGTAATTCATCAGCCAAAAGTGAGTTAATTGCTTCTTTTTTTTTTTTTTTTTTAAACCAAAAAAACGGAGGATAAGCAACTGTCTTAAATAACACTACCGAACTGAATGAGTCATGTAAAGTGTGAATTATGCACCAACACATCTGCTAACATTAAACAATGTTTCACAGTAATATGTACTGTGTTATGAAGAGAACAAGTTAGCTGATAAGTAGATACTCATCCCTCCTAAGGGAGTAAGTGCTGAGCTGGGCCTTGTAAGCATAATTTTGCTTTGGCTAAAGTCATATAAACAAAGCCTTTCAATTCTAGAGTGGATCAGAGTTCAGGAACTAACAAAATAATTCAATTTTGCTTACTGATAGATAATGATGATTTTATCCAAAAATACCAGAAGCTTCAGCCCAAGGGTAAATTTCATAGACCTTTTGACTTTAGCTACTCCTAAAATCTTCACTGTACAATCAGCTATTCCATAACACAGAATGTGTACTATCATTCCCAATGCGGCACCAAATCTCTGAATAAATTTAGCAAATTACATTAAAAGTAGAAAGGTTCCTCTTCTTATTTGCTTTCTATATGCTGGCTGACTAAAACAGCATGCAAGAAAATACTGAGAACAACATCAACTCAAATAGTTTTCCCTTTGGTGGGTCCCTACTCCGTTCTCAAGCTGATTTTTGCTCATCTTGTGCCATGACATAGATTTTAACTCATTTGCATATCAGATTAAACCCACTGAAAGGGGTGGTCCAGATCCAAGAGATACAGCAAACCACGACATTTGGTTTGACCTTTGTTGGACCTTTTAAATGAAGTGTTGCAAAGTGACTCAATTAGCTGGTTACTTGTATTTACATAGGTTCATGGTCAGTAGGAGTCTTCTACCTTAAAGAGTTCCTCCAAGCATTATGATCCCTTCAGTGATTTCACTATAAAATGTTGCACATAGGAATTTAACCCATTTGCTGCCAGAGGTGTAACTCTACCTCTGGTAGTGTCCTTGGAGCACAACCCTTTGCTGAGAGAGGTCAGCTGACATTCTCAGTCAATAAATGGCCTGTGGGCTTCGCATCTGTCTTCTGAAGTTTTGAAGAAGCTAGATGCACATCATCTGCCATAGAGGACCTTCTGAGCACAGTATGGGAACAAGTTAAGAGCGCAAAACCATTGCAAAATGGTTTGCCCTATTTCTGCGATATGGTGCCAGGGCTGTACAGAGGGCTGAAGCGGATTTGGAGTATCCCTTCATCTATTTCATCTACGTCAATTTGCTTCAATTTGACTGACAAAACACATTACTCAATATCAAGTGAATTGAAACTAAAGCACGCTAAATAAGTTCCTTTTATTTTCAAATGAGTTTCATTGCTGCACTGAGATTGATAGAAATAGCTCAGCCAAACTGCAATCAAGTAGAAACAGCAGCTGAATTTCCATGGTATAAGAAACAAAATATGCCATTAATTTTAGAGCAGGATATCGGGGATTTAGGGATTTGGGTACTGTTATTGGGTTAAGGGAGCTGGAATTGTAACAAATTAAAAACAGAACTGCAATGCTGTCCAAACTTCTATAAACAATAAAACAGACCCAAGCAGGTGAAATCGGAAAGGACATAGCAATCAAAATATATTGACTTAGAACAAGTCATAGTCAGAACAGCATCTGACTTGAGATCGCCAAAGTCGAAAAATATAAACTGATGCTTTTCTTTCAAATAGATGTCGCAAAGTCACACAAATATTCTAGACTGGTCTGAGTTACCGTTAATGGATAGTCTACAGCTAAAAAAACTGGTTAAGATTAGAAGTTAGTTTTAATTATGATCATGTAAAAAAGATAATACTATTAGATAACAGGGGAAAACGTCACATGAATACACATAGCAAGTCATCCTTGCTTCATGGCTAAATTTGGTATATATTCAATTTTCTGGTTTAAACCTGGTAAGTTTAATGCAAAATATACTAACAGCTCCCTAGATTCACTGGCCATGTGTAAATTTTAACTTTTAAACAAAAACCAATTGATTTTAAAATAGACTCATATTATTTAACCCATTTTTGATGGCCGGTAATGTAGCATGTACATACAGTGGCTTCCAAAAGTACTATCACATAATGGGTCTTGCCATGATCAAAGAGACCAAGTTAGTCATCAAGCTATTTCTTAATTCCCTTATATGTAGATGCTACCCATCTAATCACCAAGACAACGTTTCCCAGTAATCCCAGTGTGTTATTGTACATTTTGGTGTTAGGCTTAGATTTTTGTTAGTTAGGAGTCGAATCTCCCACTCCTCTCCCCCCAAAAATAAAAAGGGGTACATTTTATTTGTTTGTGTATGTATATATACACACACACACACATACATACATCCATACATACATACACACACACACACATACACACTGATTAGCCTCAAAATTAAAACAACCTGCCAAATATTATGTAGGTCCCTCCCTTGCTGCCAAATCAGCTCTAATGCATTGAGGCATGGACTCCACAAGACCTCTGAATATGTCCGGTTGATATTAGCAACAGATCCTTTAAGCCCTCTAAGTTGTGAGATGGGGCCCTCAAGGATAGGGTTTGTTGTTTCAGAACATTCTACAGATGCTCAGTCGGATTAAGATATGGAAAATTTGGCGACCAAGGCAACACCTTGAACTCTTTGTCATTTTCCTCAAACCATTCCTGAACAATTCTTACAGTGTGGCAGGGTGCATTAACCTATTGAAAGAGGCCACAAGAGGCTACTGCCATCAGGGAACACCACTGCCTTAGAAGGGGTGTACATGGTCTGCATCAGTCTCTAGTTCATCTCTAGTCAGTCTCTGTGTCAAAGTAACATCTAAGTGAATGCCAAGACTCATGATTTCCCAGCAGAACATTGCCCAGAGCAAATCACTGCCTCCACAAGTCTGCCTTCTTCCGATAATGCATCCTGCTGCCATCTCTTCGATAGGTAAAGGATGCAGGTGCACTCGGCCATCCACCTGATCTAAAGATCACATCCCCACTAAAGGCACTTTTGTCAGTGGACAGGGATCATCATGGACACCCTGACTTGTCTGCGACTACACAGCACAATATGCAGCAAACTGAGATGCACTGCCTGTTCTGACACTGCTCTATAATTGCAGAATTGCAGCATTTAGTTTTTGAGCTACAGTAGCAGTTCTGTAAGCCCTGGGCTCCCATGACCCGGAGCTCGGTTTACTGGTTGTCCTTCCTTGCACCACGTTGTCAGGTTCTAACCACTGCATACTGGGAACACCCCACAATGCTCACAGTTTTGGAGATGCTCTGACCCAGTCATTTAACCATCACTAAAAGTCACTCAGATCTTTTCACTTTCCCATTTTTCCTGCTTCCAACACATGAAATTCAAGAACTGACTGTTCACTAGCTGTCTAAAATAAAACACACTGGCAGATGCCATTGTAACAATATAATCAATGTTATTAGCTTCACCTGTCAGTGGTTATAATGTTGTTGCTTATCAGTGTGTATATACACACACATATCACCAGTTGCTCTAAAAATAAATGTTTTGAAGTTATTTGAAGTACCGTATATACTCGAGTATAAGCCGAGTTTTTCAGCACATTTTTTGTGCTAAAAAAAACCCCCAACTCGGCTTATACTCGAGTCACTGTCTGTATTATGGCAATTTACATTGCCATAATACAGACTGGGGGCTGGCAGAGCTGTTACTTACCTCTCCTGCAGCTCCTGTCAGCTCTCTCCTCCTCCGCGCCGGTCCGGTCAGCACCTCGGTCAGCTCCCAGTGTAAGTCTCGCGAGAGCCGCGGGGTCATAGTGCGGCTCTCGCGAGACTTACAGTGTGAGCTGACAGAGGAGCTGCACGGACCGGCGCGGAGGAGGAGAGAGCTGACAGGAGCTGCAGGAGAAGTAAGTAACAGCTCTGTCAGCCCCCCTCCTCCCCCTACTGAACTGCCAATGCCACTGGACCACCAGGGAAGGAGAGCCCCCCTCCCCAGCCAGCTAACAAGCAGGGAGGGGAGACGAAAACAATATAAATAAATTAATAATATATAAATAATAATAATAATAATAATAATAAAAAAATAATAATAATAATATAACAAAAAAATTAAAATAATATTAAATTTTTTTTTATAAAAATGCCCACCCCCCACCAAGGCTCTGCAACACACACACACTGCATCACACACACACACACACACACACTGCATCACACACACACACACACACACTGCAGTCATACACACACACACACACACTGCATTCATACACACACACTGCACTCATACACACACTGCACTCATACACACACTGCATTCATACACACACACTGCACTCATACACACACTGCATTCATACACACACACTGCACACTCATACACACACTGCAGTCATACACACACACACTGCATTCATACACACACACTGCATTCATACACACACTGCATTCATACACACACACACTGCACTCATACACAAACACTGCACTCATACACACACACATTGCGCACTCATACACACACACACTGCGCACTCATACACACACTGCGCACTCATACACACACACTACATTCATCATATACACACACTGTAAATAAATATTCAATTAATATAATTTTTTTAGGATCTAATTTTATTTAGAAATTTACCAGTAGCTGCTGCATTTCCCACCCTAGTCTTATACTCGAGTCAATAAGTTTTCCCAGTTTTTTGGGGTAAAATTAGGGGTCTCGGCTTATATTCGGGTCGGCTTATACTCGAGTATATACGGTATTTGTTGGTCTAGGGCAGGGGTCCTCAAACTGCGGCCCCCCAGATGTTGCTGAACTACAACTCCCATGATTCTCTGGCTATCTATTTAATTCAAAGAATCATGGGAGTTGTAGTTCAGCAACATCTGGGGGGCCGCAGTTTGAGGACCCCTAGTCTCGGGAGTTTGTTATATTTCTACTATGAAGAAAATTGTCTTTTCTTCTTAAAAAGCATGTGCTATTCTTGAATCTAGCACATAAGGAGCATTCGTATTACATCAGCTTTTAAGCTCAGATAACCAATATATCAATATCACAGTATGTCATTGAAATACCTAGGACTTTTTTTCTAATCTAAGGTCCTGGCATCCTACCAATGTCCAGGAACTTTGTGCAACATTTGAAATAGCCCTGTTTTTTGGTTTTTTTTTTCCAAGTGGTGTGTCATGAAAATGATCATTTGAATTTGGGGTTTCTAATCTACACAATGTAGACATAAGCCCTGCACATTACAATGTATAACCTGGAATGTTTCTTGAATTTGACCATAACAAAAACCTGGGTAAATGTATACTTGGAGGTACTTTGGGTGTTTTTAACAGAAAAAGAACACAGTTTGGCAGCATTTGCTAAAGAGATTATTGAGCAAAAAAAAAAAAAAAAAACCCACAAGAGCCTGTGGCAAATGTTTTGATATAATGGGAGTAATTTTCAGGTGGGGGCTGCCATTTTGCTGCACAAGTGTCATGGGACCAGTATATTAAACTATCAAAAAGTCTGAAGTCTAAAATGGAAAGGTCATGATTCAAACTTCACAAACATCGTACAAATGCCTATATAGGGTGCTGCTGATTTCAAAATGCAATTTCAATGCAGTATGTTGGTAAAAAAAATACAGGAATAATATTTCTAAATTTGGCAGTAATTACTGATGAAATAGCCAGGTGGTAAGAAATAGCCTGCAGCAATTAGCCCAGTTATCAACTTTTACAAATGGAGTGCAATGATAATTTGCAGTGGCAGGTCCCAGTAAACTGATTTTTTTATTGCAAGTTTGAAGTCTAAAATGGGAAAGTCTCTAATTTGAACATGTAACTTCAGAAATATACTTCTGAACTATTAACAAGTGGTATTGCTATGTGCAGGGGCTAATGCTTTTTTTCTGCACTAGTGCATATTAGATGCATGCATGTGAAAGAAAACAAACCAAAAACAAACAGTAAAATGAAATATATGTTGAATTTTCTATTTAATATTTTGGATAGACGCTTAAAATGATTGAATATAAATATAAAACAACTGCATGAAGAAATTTAAAATACTTGTAGGCTTATATCCAGACAGGCATATAAAAGCTATTGTGCAAAAAAAATACAGGTTAGATTATAAAATGTTTAGTTTCATGTAGTGTTTTTTTGGGACCCAAGTGTTCCAAAGTTTGCAAATGTTTATTTTTGAAACTATAAAGCACTCCTTGTACTACTTGTCCTATAAAATCCAAAAATGTATTGAAAGCTTGGATTATTGAGGCGTTATAACAATCAGGACTAGTAAGTGAAATTATCTTGAGTCATTTTTCTTTGTTTGCACGAGGTGTGTAGAAATTATTAAAAGCAAAACTATGAAAACATACATTATAGATGCAATTCCTGCAGTAAACAAGCACTATCACACAAAGAATTGTTACCCTTATTCCATAAGCTCCTTAACAGCAGAATGTTATTGGCAGAGCAGGGGTTTTATAGACAATCAGAATACAGCAAGAATTCAGAAATTAATCAACACACAATATATGCAGAATGGGCAGCAACCCAAGCAAAGGAAACCCCTCAGGTCCTTCAATGGATCAATTACAACACAAAAATGATGGAGTAGGGCTGCACCAATACAAATAAAATAGTCTTAGAGAGGGTAGGAGGTCTCGCTAGAGTAGCAGTAGATAATCAGGGAAACTTGATAAGACGTATTCTCTTCAATGGGAGTGGATACATGTCAGGGTGTTAGTTCGTATATATGAAACAGAGAAGAGGCAAAAAGCAACCAATAGTGCAGTAAGTAACAAGAGGTAGAGAACTCACATTTAAAAGAGCTATAGCCAGCTCTGGTGTGAAGAGCATACAGCGGTATAATCCCTGCTTATGGGATGTGGGAATATGTATCCGTCAGCACCGTCTGGTAATCCAAAGCTCCAAAGAGAAGATAAAAGGCAACAATAGTGCTCTGAATTGTGATAAAATAGAGTATAAAAGAGTGATAAGAGTAATACTCACAAGTGTAGAGCAGAAACACTGCTCTATTGATATAGCGATATAGGAATTGTGGTGGCCATATTAGGAGGGGAAATATGTCCTTATTTAAACTCTATGTAGCCAGTTTGTATGTTTTTATCCCATTTTGAGAAAGCCACATCGGCGAAATGTGTATTTGGATGTTTTATATTTACTTTTACTACAGAATAAAGGAATTATTTTGGACAAATAGACCTGGTTTGTGCCAATTTCCTTTAAATTTTATTTACCATTTTAAAATATATTATTCTAAGTTCCTAAAGAGGAATAGAAAATGTGAACTTATGGAGTTGAATATGAAAAAACAAACAAAACAAAATATTAACGGAACACTATAGGGTCAAGAGTACAAATTTGTGTTCTTGACTCTATAGTGTCTAAAACACAATTTAGAGGGCCGTCCACCCATCCCTCCTCTTAAAAGGTAATAAAATGAACTTTATTTCCCATGCTGCATGGGTTTGCCAGCATTGGCCATGCCCCCAATCTGTCTCCTTGGCTGACATCATCAGAATCCCATAGGAAAAGTATTGGATTTGCTGAGATCGTCAAACAGGCAAGGGCAAACACCTTCCTGACCAATCAACATCTCCTCATAGAGATGCATTAAAATTGATGCAGCTCTATGGGGAAAGTCCAGCATCTCCATGCAGAGCTTGCAGACTGAACGTCAATGCTGCACACTGTGCAGCACTGACCCAGGAAGCACCTCATGTGGCCATCTGAGGAGTGGCCTAGATGTGTTCCTAGGCAGTAATGTAAACACTGCCTTTTCTCTGACTATGGTGTCCATTTAATTTTAGAAAACACACAGCCACTATAATTCAGCAATTTAACAATGTAGCTAATGTGTTGGATAGTCTTTTAAACTCCCTGGAGGCGTTGGGGGATGTTACAAACTGCCATTTGTAACTGGCCCTTTAAATGACAAATTGCCATGCTTTCCTGGGTTATGGAGAAGCCTATTTGTCAGTCTCCTGCCTCATGACTATGGCCCTTCTCATCAGCCCATGCTAAACTTAAACCCCATGGCGATTTGACTGTGTTTATGGCATCTAAGCGCTGTTTGGGTATATTGAGCGCTCAGATCCAAGCCATCTGGGGATAGGTTGAATGTGGGGGTTCTGTTCAGTATGATAGGAATTATGTATTTTTGCTGTTGTTGTGAATGGAGATATTTTCTGTACCTGGAGATAGTTGGCTTACCACACCCAGTTAAGCCAATTATCTCACAAAGCCTAACTCTGTGGAACAGGATTGGGCTGAAAAGCCATGCTTCAGTTGGTCACAAAGGACTTTGACCTAACTTTTTAACCCATGAAGGGAATTGTCTGATTTTTGAGTATGATTGTATTTGGAGTATGCCGATTCTGAAAATGTAATGTTTATGTGAATGTGATGTATAACTTTTAAAGTTATGAATGTTGTGTAAAATTGTGTATTTTCCTGTCTGTGATAATTACGTTAGCCCATTGTGTTCAGTAATTTTATCACAGGCAGACGGGAGGATTTTGTGTGTAATTGCTGGGAGTGTTTTATTGTGTATTGCGTGTTTATTGGTTGTTCTGCAAAACCCTGTGGGCGGTACTGTATCTGTAAAACCTGCATAAAAGAAAGCCCTTTGGTGCCAATTAAAGAGAACTACTTGACCCTCTAACTTGCAGCCTCGAACTCATGTTTGTAGGGGACAGCTATAATCACTACAGGGATTGCTATGCTCTTCATACTCCCTTAGCTACTGAGCTCTTGTAAGAGCTCTTGTTCCTGATCCTGCTTCGCTCTACAGAAGGAAGAGGTTCACCCACTGGAACCTGGAGCCTGGTCATAGGTCCAGGGTGGATAGACGGCGAGATACCAGCCCAGCAGCGGTGGTTCATGGAGTCTGCAGTGCTTATGGTGTTGGTGCAGTACTTATGGTGTCTACGGTGCTGATGGTCCTTTGGTGAGCGCTAGGAGCATCCTTCCTACGGTCCAACTTCCAGCCAGCCTGGAGGCAACCGTAACAGGGGAGAATATGACATAGATAGAGCCAACAGTCAGAAATGTACCAATATACTTATTAACACTCTAGTTGGGTGTAATGTCATTCTAAAGCTGCCTTCTTGTGATTTAAATCTGGTTACTGTCAACGCTGTGTGTGTCTGAACTGTGACATCACATAGTCCAGTACAGTGCAGTAACCTACACAAACTATTTTAAAATGGGAGTGATTTAAAGAGGTAGAATATTGCAAAACATTTTTTTGTAAAAACTATATAAAAGCTATGGTGAAAAACATACAGGTGATTATTTAGACTAAAGGCTATAAACTATATAAATATGTTGGTGCCTGGAGTGTCCCTTCAAGCAGTGTATTAACGATTTTATTATTCATTTTGCCTACTGCATGTTACTAAAATTGTATTCCTGCTTTTTTCCCACATATATTTATTACCCTGTATAAAGAACTATAAAGATAAAGGGATACTGTGTAAGCTCCAATATTTTTTACCAAACCAATATACCTGCAATAAGTGAATGCATAATCAAATACAATTGTGTAACGTTTTATAATTCTTATTATGATGTATACCTGAATAACATTCTAAAAAACAGAAATGCTGTTTTGTCCAAGGTTTTCAGCTAGATGTGCATCTCACATTTAAAATAAATATTTGAATTGCAGCCGTAAGCAGCCAGCACACAAATTAATGTACTCCTGTATCTGAGCATGTACAATGACCCTTTGTCCTGCAGTTCAAATTAAGTAGAGTACATTGTTAGTGTAATAGCAGTACAAATGTATAAGGAATTCATCACACTTTAAGATCAAAGCAAATGAACAGGAAGCTTTGCCGATCTGGAATTGAACTTGCAATTCTAGT